TACCCAAAACTCCCCCACCTCAGCAGATCATTAAAAACTCCCTACAAAGTGCTGCTATTAGATACAGTAAAAGAGCAAAATCCCCATGCAAAGGCTCCCCAGAGGTGGGATTTTTATGTCCACTGTCTCCAAATTTTCTTCGTTGTGTAGCAACTGCTTTTTCTGCTTTGTGTGTGGATATTTAACATACCTACCTGCAGGAACTCACTTTACTTTTTTTATTACGGCACCATCTGCTTAAAATGGCAACAATCTGAAGGGTTCAACACCAAGGACAACAACAATAAAATATAGAAGATCCTTGAAGGATCTGATCTGCATGGCTCTTAATGTCAAATTCACCCTGTGCCACCTGCTAACAGGTTCCCTTACCCTGACCATGCACCCAGAAGGCAGCAACACTACACGCACCCCCAAAATAACTTGTGCTCCCAACGCTTCAAGCTCTTGTCAGGATGTTTCTTGGCGCTTCAGGGCATGAAAGATGCTTCATTTCTAACTCGGGCTGTGAAACACCTTGGTTTCTAGCCATACTGTTAATAACTCATCACCAATTATTAATTCCTACTCCTAATCTGGGCAGGCTGAGAGAGTTGCAGTCCCTTCCCAGCCTTGGGGCATCCTCCACATCCTGCACTAACTCTGCCGGGGGAACGTTTTCAGCTAATGGAAGCATTGCCCTTCACTTCCCTTTAACTTGTGCCCTAAATATGCTCCCAATATGGGACAACACCAGCTTTTTGATGTGAAACCAGAACTCCTTCTCCATTCCAATTACTACCCTCTGAACACTCACACCATTCCTCGTGTCTCGTTCGGATTTGCAAGTGCTGAGGCTAGGCGGGGTGAGCCAGACCCCCGTCAGACCTTCGTGACACAGACTCCGGGAGATGGGTCCTCTCCATATGCACTTCAACATTGCAGGGGAAACTCATTTTTCACCTTTTCTTCAATGTAATTCCTCTTTCTTTTTGAGAATTACTTATTGCCAGGTTTCTCAGTTCTCAAGCAAGTCCCATTTCCTAATTATTAATCTACCCTTTCATCATATGCCATTTCATTTATTCATGACGTTTGCCCACCTTTGTTCCATATTCCCCTTAAAAAAAAGGTAAGTCAGTTATAGGGCTGGCCAAGTGCAGAACTTGTCACAATACTTCCCCTTTTCTTTTAACGCAAACCCATTTTACTTGCCTGTCCAAATGAAATGCCGCTATTTCTGCGTTATGTCTTTCATAGTCTGAGAAATAAAAAAAGTCAGGTGGTGTTTCTTGTTCTCTGGTTTGCCTGCAAAGAAAAACAAGGAAAGTGTTTTAATGAAGGGTTAGCATTTCTAAGGAGTAGTTCTTAGCCATCAGCAAGTTATTCAGGAGTTCAGTATAGTTTATTTAATGGAAGGCCTTTAAATACATCATGTGTGCATTACTGGCCATGTAGCCTTCATTTTATCTTCTTTTTTAAGCAACTGTAACAAAAAAATATGAATTCAAGAATTGTGCACGCAGGCTGCTGTCACAAAGCTACTCCACACAAGACTTTTGCTCTGTTTAACAAGATCTGTTTTATCACTCTCAAACATTTCCTTAGTGATAGCAATAAAATACAATGTCATTTCATTAAATTATCATTAGCTGTAATTATGAAATTTCCAAAAGTAATAACATTTTCCTTTCATCTTTGGCAGCCATGCAGCTCCTATCTAAAATACGATTCTCCTTTTGTATTACTTAGAGCCCAAAGTGACATGTTTTTTGTATTTCAGATGAAACAGGATCATTGCAGTTTGACGACCACGACATATGTCATGTTTCAAAGAACATTAACAAGCCCGTGCTCCAGAGAGAATACAGAATTTGCTGTTTCTTCAGTATAAGAACCAATAAAAAATGACATTCTGATGGAAAAAGAAGGGCTAAAGCTTCAACACTGAACTCCATGAGAAACAGAAAGTTCTACATAACAAAGGAACAACTCTTGGTCTCACTTTAGGCAATTTCCAGTCTTGGTGGCTTTTGGATGGAGCACAACTCAGGCAGTTGACCGGTACCATGTCTGGGCATGACCTCAACCTGCATCATGCCCTATTTTGAAAGCTTAAATGCTGTTCTGCAGAGCCTCTGCAAGGGAGGACAGTTTCCCAGAAGATGAAAATGAACTTCTTTCTCCCTCCCTGCTGCCACAGGTGGCCAGCTGACAGCTCATGTGTCACCCAGGCTGTACGCTGGCAGTTAAAATACAGTTTTAGCACTGGGGCCTTGTCACATGAAAGGCTTTGGGGTGGTGCAGGTACAGAGCAAAACCCTCCAAAGAACTGGCAGCAAGCCCTAATTATGGGGCTTATTGGGAAGCCAAAGCTGTGTCCACCCACACACATTCCCACACAGATGACTACAACTACTGTGACTTGTATCTGCCTGTGAGCCCTCCTGTATCCACCTGCGAGCCCTCCTGTATCCACCTTGCTGCAGAAAGCAGGTGAGTCTCATGGTTTCTGGCTATATGAAGATTTTGCTACGCAATCATGGGGTCTGAAGGCTGATTTCTTTTCTCAGACATTCTTCTTTATATTAACATCTTGCCGACACACTCTGTGTCACCATAAATGAAGAATTGCGATCACAGAGACAACGTGGACTTGATGATCTCAGAGGTCTTTCCTGCCTCAACAACTCTGTGATTCTGTGAACATCAAGATGTTTGACTTGTGTCCAACCTAACTCAAGGCCAGAGGGGCCTCCAACACCCCAGTGATGCTCTGACCAAACCAGCACTGACCACTGTCACAGCAGTGGTCACGGAGGTGGCCAACACTTGGCAGAAGTCCTGCTGGGGCACTGCTGTGGCTGCAAAGGGTTCACAAAAAGACAAGCTAAAAGTGAGTTTGGTACAAAATTTTTAAAAAATAAATCTTTGCTTTGTCTCCATAATAAACACAAAAAGTGGAGGAGCGCACTCACAGAGTAATTACTATGGGAGAGCCAGAAACCCATGGCACGTCACACACTACACTGGGAAATCAAGACAAGAGCTAGGAATGCTGCAAACTCACTGAGCATATTCCCCTCAAAAATGAAGAAACGAGCCCTGAATATAAATTCAAGGGAAAAGATTATCATACTTCTGTTGGGCAGAAAATTACTCATTTGTATATAACTCTCCCTCCACTCCAGATTTTAAAATAGTCAATTTCTTCAACAAATCAAAGAGGGAAAGACTCATCCCAAGCTTTTGCAACTTTACACATATCAGCACAGCTGATAAGCTACAGAAAATATTACTAATTAGCTAATCAATGCCATCTGCTTTTTATCTCCCAAAGACTTTAAATAAATCACGGCTGTTCCTTTACAAGAAAATCTTGCTCCAGGAAATCAGACTTAAAGAAGGGCTAGATCTCAATCTTGCAATCACAGCTATTCCCCTAGCCCAGCTCCTCTGCACTGCCAGCTCGACACGCCGGGCAGTCAGGACATCACTGCCGGGACAGTCTGGTCTCTCTAATTTCACTTTTCTATGTGCTCCCTGCCACCCCTGGCAATGGCTGGGGATATTATTCATTTGGGAGTAAGTATAGCTGTCCTGCAGGCTTAGACTTGTTCGTGCATACTTCTCTCCTGTCACAAAGTATTACTATGCAGTAGCACATCCTCCTAGAAAATCGTGAACTTGATTGTCCTAAAATATGCAAAAATGGACACCAAATCCACAGTGCAATCCAGGCAACTGCAATACCAGTATTTTTTGAACCAGACTATACATGATGAAACAGAACTCGCAAGTTTCTTTGGTGCTTCCCTTTACTTATCTACAGAAAAACACATTCCAGCCACAGTCCCCATGGTCCACACCCATGCTACATGAGTACAGTGCCCACTTCTACGTCTCTTGGAAATACTGGGTGATTCGGAACGTATCTGAAAGGAGGATTTATCAAACCCCTCCAAAATGCTTTACATTCTTTATGTTCTTTTGCAAAGCTCTGCAGAACTAAGGTGTAGCAGATCCAAATGTGAAACCCTCTGCTGAAATATCCTTGAAAAATCCTTTCTGATGACTTATTCCAATATTCCATAGTCAGACAAGAAACCTTGTTCTTTGGATCTGACTTTAGCTGGCAAGAATTTTATTCAAACATACATTTACTGTTAATTCTATGACTGCTGCAGCACCTAAAGTAATTCCTCAGCCCCAGTAAGCTGCCGTACCACCCGCTAACACTAACACTTGTGATTATCATTGCCTAAGGTACACAACTGAATTAAAAAAGTCACATGAGCCCAACACAGCTTTGAATCAACGGACTCTTATGAGAACGGCTTTAACAGTGTTAAAAGGGCACCTACATCACAATCCATAAAATTCATGTTATCCAAATATGTTTGTACATGATTTCTTTTTATCTGCATTTAAAAAGTTGCTATTTTTTAGTGTGCACAATCTAATCAATGCATTACTTGGTTTGGTGCTAATTTTTCTAATGATCTATTCTCATGTATATGTACAGACGGGTGGAAGATCAAACTTCCTCTCAGCAATGTACATGTACAGTCAGCAAGTCCCACCAGTTACTCTGGTTTGAGATCGTGGTACCTAGCCCTCGGTCTCTAAGTGACAGGCTGGGAAAGGGGCACGTAGCCTGAGTCCCTTTCACATCAAGTAAAATATCTTACAAAACAACACTGGAACCGATCTACCCCACAGCATGTTTTAAATCAGAATCGCATTTTAAAGGGGCAAAAGAAAAACCCAACCCTCGAGTTATTTTGGTTTTATTACCTGACGCCCATTGAAGGTTATTTTCTAATAAAATGTGATATTTTAGCAAACAACCCAATAAAAATTTGCAGAAGGTACGCTTTTGAAGGTCAATAAATTACGGCCCAGGTCAGAGCTCCTCAGTGCCAGCAGTAACATCTCCGGGTGTGTAGGACACAGGTTCTGCACAGGTTGCAGACGGTGGGAGAGGATTTCTGGCAGCGGCTCTTATTTTGCAAACAGTTGGAATCTGGTGATCCTCTCTTTGGAGAAGGATTTGGCAGATATTTATAACGGCAGCCTGGGAAGCTCTGAAGGAGAGACAGATGGAGGTCTGTTGATACTGCACACAGTTAAAAATTACACAGTGGCACCAGACCAGTTACAGCATAAGGAAAAGACAAATCAGCACGGTAACACTAGCAGAGGAGAAAAAAGAACTAAGGGGAAACCAAAGCCCATGAAAATTTCCCTGCCATGGTACAACTTGGAGAAAAGGAAAGAATGATTTCAAACAGGACAGGGATACATTTGCATTGACACAAGACAAGATGCAACTGTGATCTGATCTTGTGGCTAGAAAAGTGAGTCACGCTTACAAACAGAAGAAATAAAGCTACTCTGATAAATGAACAGAGTCAGGAATAAATCTGGTGAGTCAGCTCCATCCTAGCTAAGGTTGGGACATGTCTTGGTCTTCAGTAGTATTTGGATAAACCGATACAGTGATTCTTGTGCAGAAATAATTGGAAAGCCTTAAGCTTAAATGTTTCTGTAAATATTTTTTGGCCCATGACTTTATCCCCCAAACCCAACATTAATAATTTCCTGGGTTGCTTTTTTTCATCCATTCATGAACCTCATCACCACAGTGAGACTGGAGGCTCTGCAGACTCTCGGGCATTTCAGAAAATGCCGTTATAGCAACTAAACCTTTAACATGGAATTCTATATTTAGTTTCCAGGATCACTCACATGCACCTGCCTAAATTACCAGGATTAATACCCACCAGGGCTATGTGTTACTTGAATGAATCCTGCCTTGATGCCAGACTTCCTCTGCTCTGGAGGGGTCCTATTATCTGTAGAGCAGCCAAAACCACAGAAAATAGGGCAAACAGCCCAATCTGAGTCAAGTGCTATCCTGACAGACACACGCTGTCTTCTAATGCCGCAGCCCAGAGACGTTTCAGACACCTTTTTTGTCAAACCCACATACCTTAACAAACGAAAGGATGTGCTGCTGATTTGCAACCAGCTCCTTTTAGATAGGGTGCGCTCCTGCTCTGAGATGTAATCAGGGGAAACAACCACAGGGATTAGGGATGATTATGGATCACAACAATGAGCTTTGCTGCAGCAGGGAGTGGGTTTCCTTGGGTTAGAGCATTTCGCAGGCAGAGACCTTGACCCTCTCCAGCTAGGGAAAATCATCATCAGCAAAATCATGAAGAGACATAACAGGTCAATGAGTCATGGCATTGGCAGCGACATGACTAGCATTGATAGGAACGCAATTTGGCTACTGGAAC